AGAAAATTTCTAGCCTTTGACCCAGGTTCCCAGAAAGGAAAAAAATTTTTCCACCCCTGTTGACACCACTGCTCAATTGTTTTTACTGTTGAATAGAGAGGTGTCCACTTATGTACGAGTCAAATCCAACCGCGATCAGCCCCCCCGGGCAACCCCAGGGCATTTGACTTAACATTACCTCCGTATAGGTGGGAATTTGATGGCCCGATCGGGCATTTGACCGCTCCGTCTGGCATTTGACCACTTGACAACAACTTGCTCAGCAGTTTTCCCTGAAAATATGTGTACACTCTATAGTCCAGCGGAAAAGTAAAAAATCATGCACTTTGTGAAGAAAGCACCCAATTCACAGGAAGTGTAGACTTTAACATGATAATGAATCTTAGATATGGAGGCATCATCAAAATTGATGATGACGGCTTAAAATTTAGGATTTCTTATATTCTCTTATTAAACCCTATTACTGTTTAAAATTGTGAAATTGCAGGTTCACATATAGCAAAAATGACTTGCATGGTTAGAAAGCTTACAAAAAACTGCAAATAAGACTTTTAAACGGCTGATCGAGTTTCCAAGCGGTTTTCCAAATCCCGCCAAAGTCCTGGTCACTAGCCCTGAAACATATTTTCAACCGCTCATAACTCCAGAGGAGTTGGTAAATCAAAGTAACTGCTTAAATGTCTTATATACAGTTTTTTGTAAGCTTTCTAATGACGCATGTCATTTTTGCTATATGTTAATCTGCAATTTCATAATTTTTAAGAGTATTGTAAGAGATTAATAAGAGAATATAAGAAATCCTAAATTTTAAGCTGTCAGCATCAATTTTGGTGATGCCTCCATATCTAAGATTCATTATCATGTTAAAGTCTACACTTCCTGTGAATTTGGTGCTTTCTTCACAAAGTGCATGATTTTCTCAAATATCTGTTCATATCCGCTGGACTACTAGTGCTTCAGAAGTTTTCAATTTTACGTCTTTTCGGTAGTTTAAAAATTGCTTCTGAATCACAAATATCAATCACATAGATATATGATACAATATCCCCGGTTGAACAAAAAGAAGAACTGTCTGGTCTATTTTTCGTTCTTTTTATAATCTTGAAATACTTGTTCAATTTAATTTTGGCCAAAATTCCAGAACCAGGACTACCTCTATAGCAGGGCATCTGACTGTGGTTTCTGCCTGTTCGGGCGGGCATTTGACCAATTATTTTTTCAAAAGTCAAATTCCCCGGGGGGGGGCCTGATCGCGGTTGGATTTGACTCGTATACATTATAGGGGTTTGACTGTACTTCTTTTATGAATTATTCAGTTTGAGAAATCTCTTTGAAACAGTTTTAATTGCCCCTGGGCCCTGGGTACCATAATTTGACACAAAATATTATTTGAATGTCAAATCCCACCCCCTTTCCCTGCCTCACCCCCCTAGCCCTTCTGAAGAATTGTTCGGATTTTGGCCACTAAATTGCCTGTGTGGGGGAGGCCGATAAAATTGTTTCATGGAGAAAATGTCAAACGTCTTCAAATTCAGTGAATAAATCCGTGACTCAAGGAAGTGAAGATACATACAGCTTTTGCATGATCCATTGAAATATTGTATATGTGCGAATTCCCTGACCATATTAAATATGACATCATAAATATCTACTGTCTTTAATACTGACCTTTAATATATTTAGGAAATAGCTGCCAGCCTGCGTCGCCAAAGGCTTTGCGATGTTTTCTTTTCATTTACGACAAAGAGCATTTTCTCTTCTTTAATAGTATTCATCTTTTCTGCTTCATAAACGTAATCTGAAAGGTTTCCAAATTCCATATCTATATGTCTTATATCATGAGTTGTTTTCTTACTTTATAGACCATCGAATCTTTAATATTTCAAAAATGTGAATCAATGATGTGAATTTGTATTTTATATCAGTTCCCGCTTTCGGCAGTGCTTCCATTTTCAAAATCAAAATTTCTCATTTTTGTCATCAAAATTTCTCTAAATTCCTTAGATTGTATACGTTATTTCCTTGAAAATTCCTTGAAATTTCATTAGGCGGTTTGCAGTGCTTTTGTAGCAATACAAAGGATTTAATCAACTTTAAAGGCACAAAATAGCACAATTAACAAAGATGATGGCTAGCTAAAAAACCACAGGCTATTATACTGTTTAAAATTAAATATTTGTTATGAGTTTACAACACATATACCTTCCATTGATATAAATAATTAATTATTCACAGCGTTTGGTGCCAAAAGTTACCAAATCCCATCCCTCAAAAACTTTCAGACGTTTTCGGAAACACAAGGAAAAAGTTAAAAAGAGATTTTTAATGAAACATAATTGATGATTCACTCAAAATTCAAGAAATAGTGAAACTTTCTTCTGCACATATGCACTTGGATGAATATTTAAGTTGTTCGGAAAAATTCCTTAGATTTTTTCTCTTCCTTAGATTTTCCTTTTCGACACTAGAATTTCCTCAGAAAAGGAAATTTCCTTGAAAATGGAAGCACTGTTTCGGATTCGGACAGAGAGCCCGTGATGATTACTTCGAAGTACTTCATGTTCTTCGTGTATTTTATGGCCCGGGCCCAGCGGGCAGAGGCCCGGGGGCTAATTTCCATAAATTTGCCGGACGTTCATGAAATCTCCCGACGCAGAGCTCCCGACGTAAAACATTTTTTTTCTTATCATAAAATTTTCCCGGAATTATTGGCGCCGGGAGAGGCGGATTAAAATTTTATTTCTAAACGCAATATATTTCCTTCTTTCCAACATCAAGAATGTAGGTATACGTCATAGAACTAGATATCTATTATTTCTATGGTATACGTACACTTGCTGTGCCTTTTATCCTCAGTTAAAATAATGAAACACTGTCGTTTTCAGGTTTTCTAATCGTAAAGATGCCTTATGACGTAGTGCAGTACTGTGCCTTTAATGGGAAAATTATATATTTAATGGCCACTATTAATGGGATTTTCACACCTGGTTATTTTGCTTCGACCCGAATGAAAACAATAAAGAACCAGTTATCAATCACATTTTGTTGCAACCTCATTAAATGTACCTGAACCACCCAGCGTAGGAATGCGAGAAGGGCGATTTCATTCGTATTATTTCAAAATGCTGATCAGTAATTTGAGAAATGTTAAAGTGGAAGTCAAGTCCGTAATCCGACGTTGCTCCAAGAACGGTCGTTTGTTGATATCGGTTGGTCAGATATGGTTCGGTTCATATCTGACCAACCGATATCAACAAACGACCGTTCTTGGAGCAACGTCGAGGCCGCTTCCAGTAACATCCGAGGAGTGCCACAGGGGGCCATCCTCGATCCATTATTGTTCCTTCTATATGAGAATCATCTCTCCAATTCCGTGACCAATTCAAGGATTACTATATTCGCGGACGATACCAAGATCTTCAAGACCATCAATTCGATCTCTGATGCGTCTGCTCTACAGAATGATCTGTCAAACTTCCAAGAAAGCCCAAGCAGTATCAACCTCGAATTGAATAACACCAAATGCAAAGTCTTAAGAGTCACCCGAAAGCACAATAAAATTACTTATCCATACAAGCTTAACGATACCATCTTAGAATGCACGGATTGTGAACGAGATCTTGGAGTTTTAACATCGATCATCTACTCTGACTTGGTCTAAACAAGTTGACCACCTGTGCAACAAAGCCACCAAAATGCTAGGATATGTCCGAAGATCAACCTTAAACATCAAAGATATCACGCCGGGTCCGTCGCAGACTATATTCATGTCTTGTTTGTTCCCAGCTCTGCTATGGATCTCAAATTTGGGCACCACAATCAGTAACCTTGGAAAGACTTCAAAGACGCGCAACAAAGTACATCCTAAATCTGCCCTTCCGTTGTGACACAACCATTTAGACCTCCTTCCATTGTGCTACTGGCATGAATTTCTAGATATGGTAACCTTCTACAAATTAACGTATGGCATGTATGTGTGTATGTATATATGTATAAACTTTATTTCAACACGGAAATCTCATCATTACAAACAATGCTCTTCCTGAGAGCCGTGCATAATTATATACAATATATAAAAATTATAAATCTATGTATAAATATAGGAAGAAAGGAGAAAAAGGGAAACAAAGGGGAAACTAGATTTACGATAACTTGAATGATTATATTACATATATACAATAAAAGCATTAGAGACTAAGAGAATCTCGTATATTATTAGAAACCTTCGTTTTGAAAGCAATGACATCCTCGGTTGATTTGATGTCATCACTTAGAGAATTCCAGGTGACCGCTCCACTGTATGCTAAACTATTTTTCATAAAATTTGTGCTAGGTTTTGGAAGGGAAAAATTCACCTGGCTATACCCCTTACATTGTAGTCATGCATTTGATTCCTTCTGGAAAATTGTCATGCATCATGACCATTGACAATAATTTAATAGTCGTCACCCAATAACAACAGAAGAGGAACCAGGTCGTCTAATCCCAATCATCTGTCAATTACAACGGCACAATGCAAGACCACTACCTACTAAAGTTCATTTCTCAAACGAACAAAGAGATTATGGAACGTACTACCAAAAAGTTTGACAAGCAATAACATTAGTTTAGGACAATTCAAAAACGGACTTTCTAAATATTACAAGTTAGCACTGGAAGACGTTTTTGACGTTGATGATCCAAGGACATGGAAATCTATATGTTTGTCTTGTAAGTGTAACAAGTCTCGTAATCTGTCCTGTCAAATATCGTGTTGTTATTAGATTTGTGTTCGTTGTATAGTATTAGACTATTACTTGAGTATATATAGTTAATGGGGCCGCTGTAAGTGGTGAAAACTGTTGCGTGCACCCTGCCAATGGAACACATATTATATGTTGTTGTAAATCAGTACTGTTAAATGTTGCATGTTACTTGTCAAAGTTAAATAAATAAATAAATAATGTAAACAAACGGTTTGTTTACATTTTGAACTGCTGTATTTTTTAAATGATGTACTGTCTGAATATCTAACACCATGTTGGTTCGCCGCTATGCTAGTCACTAAATAAATATAAAATAATATTAATAACTTAATATTAATTGGCTATATAATATAATTTATTTTGTTTCAAAAGTAACAGAGATTAAGAGATTTCTACTTCTAGTTTTAATGATATCGTTTTGTCACCAAACTTCACACTTTTTTATTGGATTCATTGATGAGCCAGGTTTGCAGTTGAATGCCTTTGAAAATGGAATAGAATTCGATAATGTTCCAATAACCCTAGGAAAATATTATATGTATTTATCAGTTTTTCAAACCAACAAAAACTTTAAAAAGCAGTTAAAAACATGATTCAAAAACAGTTACTGTCACTTGGAAAAAGAAGGGGTTACAAGTATGTGGTATTTCGTGAAATGTAAAAGTGCATGTAAACAGTCTGGTACGCAGGACGCATTCAGGTGGCCGGTGACGAAAGAAAGACCTTGGGAAATTTGTAATTGCATTTTAATATAGGCCTATACAGGGTGTATCAAAATAAACGCAATTCATCTTTTGTGCTTAATAACTTTCGAAATACTATTTCTAGTTAAACGCATTTAGGCTTACTTCAAAGCCTGTTCTTTTCTCTTTCAAACAAACTATTATCCTTGTCTCCAATGCTAGTAATAATTGCACAAGAAAAGATTTAGTAAAACCTATCATTTTTAGTTGCTGTTTAATTATGCAAGTCTACTATGTTATTGTTTAGTCGGTTTAAATGTTAGAATTTTCTTCTTTAAACTTTAATGTTGTCGTCACTACATCTGGAAAACCACGTAAGAACAAATTAAAAGTATTTTAAAAGAGACCAGGTTGTTTGAAAATCCCAAACGAACGCTAAAAATCATAGAATCAAAACATTCTGGTGTCTGAGCCAGAGTGTCATCGAATTGCGATGTAATGTAAACAGAAATTATAGCAAGTTGATGTCAGTCAGCTTAGATGGTCCAAGCCAAAATTATATCGCATTTGAAGTTTCAAACTGAGTTAAAAATAGTGGAAGAAAAGCCGTAATTATACTTATTGTTACAATCCATTTAATAAAATGCAACATTTATTTGTTTTAATGAAAAAATCAGTTATTTTCATGAGAACGATTTGTTATTCCATCTCAATTTTTTTAATCTCCAATCGCAATAACGTAAAGTATTATTACCCGCGAACCAATGAGTCAAATTTAAGAAACAACCCACTGTTAGAAAGCTGAATGGCTACGTTTTAAAATGAATGTAAACTTTAACGTTTTCGTCTATTATTTGTTTAGCAATTTACATTTCAGTCGAGGATTGCGTTTTTTTTTATACACCCTGTA